GCCGTTGCTGGTAACTCTTCGCACCACTTGTGCACTTCTCCTAAACTTCGCTTAAGCTGTGAGACGTGTATGACTGGATGGATCTGAGAACTTTCAGGTAGTTCTAAACGGTAGGCTACCTGACCGATGCGCTTCAGAATCTGATAAGGCCCATAGTATCGCACTCCTAGCTTAATTGCAAGTCTTTGAGCTGTCTTGCACTGCCTGAATGGTCGCAGCTTCAAGTAGACATACTCACCTGGCGCGTAATTCTCCTCTCGTCGCTTTCCATCTACGAAGGCTTTGGTTCGATTAATCGAGCCTTCGAGATTTTTCTTCAGCTCACGCAACATCAGATCTCGCTCCTCCAGTTCTCGACCGACCTCATCGTTAACCGCGTCTCCTTCTGAGTAGTTGATCAGCGTTGGCAGTTTACACCCGTACACCAACTCAAATGGAGTCATCTTGGTTGACTCATGGTAGGTAGTATTGTACCAGTACTCAGCCCAGGACAGAAAATTTTCCCACCTCTTCAGAAATTGATGAACATAGCACCGTAGGTATTGCTCAAGGGTTCGGTTGGTTACCTCGGTTTGCCCATCGGTTTGGGGATGACATGTTGAGCTCATGGATAACTTGGTCCCCAACAGCTTGAAGAATTCGGACCAAAAGCTGCTCATAAAGATCCTATCTCGGTCGGAAACTATGGATCGTGGAGCTCCGTGTAACTTCATCACATATTCGACGAACAACCTGGCGATAGGTTTGACTGTGTATGGATGTGTAATGGGTATGAAGTGAGCATACTTGGTAAGTCGATCTACTACGGCCATTACTCCGTTAAACCCATTAGAACTCGATAGCCCTTCAGTGAAATCCATGGTGATGTCTTCCCAGATTGCCTCGGGTACTGGTAGCGGTTGCAGCAGCCCGCTTGGTCGTCGTGAATCAGCCTTAGTGCGCTGACAGTCGTCGATGTAATCCCGAACCATGCTCTGTTGTCCTGGCCAAAAGAAGGTATTGGATATCCTCATCCATGTACGGTAGATACCCGAGTGACCTCCAACTTTGGAATCGTGGAAATGCTGCATGATCCTTTTGTGTAGCTGCCCACTGTCGGGGACGGATACCCGGCCTCTATGTAGCAATAGGCCCTTGTGCAGCTCGTAATCAGCAGTGGTTTCTCTTGCTTTGGTCTTTCGGCGCAACTCCTGGCAATAAGTATTCTCCTCTTGCGCCTTTTGTACTTTTTCTCAGATAGTCCATGTCCGTCCGGTGATAGCATCAAGCTCAGCTACATCTGTCCATCGGTATAAGGTATCAGCTACAGCATTTTGTCGACCCGGCCGGTAGACTATCTCAAAGTCGAACTCCATAAGCTTCAAGACTGTAACGCCCCGCTCCTTGATAAATCAGAGTACGCGAATTTTTCGCAAATTTTTT